AGGCTCCCGCGTTGGATTTACGCCCCACTGCCCTGTGGGTTAGACTCTTGAGTCGAAGGCTCCGGTTAGGGTTCCTCAAAGAAAAACTCCTTCATCGGCGTGGGCAACCGCGAAGTATGTCATGCCCAAAAGTCTTGTAAATTCAATCCACGAAAATGTGCTATCTTCTGCTTGAATCTGGTCTCAACATTCTAATCATCATTCTGCTGCTTTATCCAACTGGGCAACCAAAACCGGCACACGAAAGTGCATGGTTAATGGTTGTAAGAACTGAACTGAACTGAACTTTTTCCCTCGCTCCAACCTGTTTGTTTTTAACTGAAATGTAGGCTTTATGCCCACAGAAGTTATTGCAATGCAATACAATACTTTAGAGAAGGAAATGTGTGGAACGTTAAGCTACACAATGGTAGGTCAGGTAAACTTTGTTGCGAGCTTTTCCGTATGGATTATCGTTTCGGGCTGTGCATAATGTGTTTTTCAATGAAAACAAACGGACCGTCTAGGAGTTATCTTATGTCGTAGATTAAATCAATTTATTTGAAACGAAACAAATCAATTATTTAGAGGGGTTCATAGTTTCAACAGTTTGCTTTTCTGATAGCTTGTCTAATCTATACAGAGATTGGGAGGTTATGAAACTTGATAATTTTACCGCATTCATTTCACCATACAATATTGTAAATTTTTCAGCTCCCGATTCAACATGACTTCGAGTATGTTTGCCGGAGCGATTAGCTCCTCGGAAAGTGACTACGATGATGAGCCAGTGCAACGGGTTGAAAACCGTTTTACGCGTTATCAGAGTGATGAGGAGGAGGAAGGAAAGCGTGTGGTCAAGAGTGCTCGGGATAAGCGGTAAGTGTACACAGCTCGTCACGTTCTGATTTGTTTTTTAGATTTGAGGAAATGCAATCCATTATTAAGAACTTGAATAATCATAAGAAAATTCGGGATATGTCGAGTGTTTTCGATGGTACAATATTGGTTCACCTCATCCACACACACAAAAAAATGACCTTACAGATTTCGAGAATTTGATCAAAGTGTACAGCAAATCGGTAAAAATGAACGAAATGGATGGAACACCGGCATTCTATGTGCGCTGTATAGCCGAATTGGAAGATTTCGTGAATGCTTCGTGGGAAAAGAAACGAGAATTGAGCAAAAGCGCCGCACGGGCACTGACGGTGTTGAAACAGCGCGTGAAAAAATACAATCGAGATTTTGAAGGAATTATTAAAGATTTTCGTGAGGTAAGCTTAACTCACCCCCGCCTAAATGGTATCATTTATTCCCCGTAAAGCATCCAGAGAATTATCAGGAAGAAGAAACAGCGGAACAATCAGGTATGTTTAGTCTGTTTGGTCTCATTTTTTGCTTTCTATTTAGAAGAAGAGGAAGAAGACAGCGAGGAGGAACAGCCACCCGCCAAGGTATGTGACTAATATTTCTCGTCGGATAGTTTGTTTGACTATGAGATATAGTTTAATCTGGTTATCTGTTATCTGAAATAAAAGTACATCAGACCGATCGAAAGGTAGTATTAGCACCAAATTGCACAGACAGTGGTACATTTTTGATGGGTTCTTTTGTGTGTGCGTTTTTTCCTGTAAGAAAGTTGTTTTGAGTTTTCAGGTGATCACTTAGTCGATTTCATCAACACGATAAATCATATGTGGGCAGTCTGATGAACAAAACATGTCATTTTGCAAACAATTCCATAGAAATTCGGCACGAGCGGTTTCACGAGTCACACGACAACGAATGTTCAACATGTCTTCTGGTGTTGATGAAATGGAAAAGGATGTTTTACATGTTGTTATTTCCCGTTCACGTGTACTGTGCCTGTTTGGATCAGCCTCTCTCTCTCTTTCTCGCTTATGCATATTTTTATTGCTTAATTGATAAAAAGTGGAAAGAGTGAACTGTCAAGTTGAGCGCAAGCTACCCTAGTCTCCGTAATTGAGATGATGAATCGCATGAGGTCCGTAACGGGATACGCGTGTTAGTAAGCCAGACACTGACCAAGCTGCCTCACGATACCCCTCCCGGAAAAATTCATGCTGGAATAGGCTGGTAATAGAAACCTGNCCAGCCACAATGATCGCGAACCACATAAATTAGTTTTCAGAACCCGTAACCTATCATTCTGCATTCATTTTTTATATATATATTCCAGGATAGTGACAAGTGAAAGTTCTGTTCAGACGATAATTACGGAAATATACTGTTTGATTATAAAAACCGGAGACTCAGATGGCTAAGCTATCTACTATCCAAGTTGGTGCGTGTATTGGGTTTTCAGTCATGGGTGTTTCAAATCTTGGCCTTTATGGTTACCTATGCTATAACCAGTTAATGAATCACCTTACCACCTAATGAGGGTCAAAACACAAAATGAAGCTGTATTATTTCTTTACGGGCACGGACGCCTCAGTACGATCGGGGTGGGTGTCGAGTTGACTGGTTACCCTTGCGAAATGCTCCTATATGATTAAGCATCTCAAATAGCGTCTGACGAGGAAGCCCTATTGACTGCTTTCTTGTGACGGAGGTGTTTTCTCATCGAAGTGAGAAGACGAAACGCAAACATCCGGGTCGGTGAACCACTCGTAGTTCATCTGAGGAAGTTGGCGAAAAACCCTGATTCCAGACAAGCCAACAAGAGACGAACGAACCACAAAGATACCTTCCTGGTTGTGGCAGTGGTCACCGGCTCAATCGGGCATCGAGGTGTGTTGGGTACCTTGGACGTTTTACCCCGTCCGAAGGGCGTATGATCCAATGAACTGGATACCGGTTCCACGTGGACTGCGAACTCTGACCTCTGTCTTGCTGTCTATCCAAAGACTTTAGATGAGGCCCCGGGGTTTATCCTCCTTCCTTGATCTGGGCAACCTGGAAGTAATATATCCAGGAAAATATATGAACACATTCTATCGATATATTGTGGCAAATTTGCTAGTTCTGTGTAATTGTTTTTTTTCTTGAAATGAAAACTATGGACACGGTCCGGTGCATTTGTCATGCTCGAGAAAGAAGTTAAAGTGTCCGTTCTACGTTGCTTTCAGTCAGTCAGATTCTCGCTGAACGAAAGAATGATTTCCGTGCGATTCTTCTATTTGTTCTATCTGAAATATATCTCCTTGTTCCCTTCGCGCTTCTTAGTTACATAGATAGAGCTAACTATCGTTAGTGTGTCCAAGTTGATACATAGATTGGTTTGTTTTCTCATTAGTGTATATCTCTACTAACTACTTGAGAAACCGTAACCGGAGCCTTGGACTCAAAGGTTTGACCTGATGGTCTCTAAATTGTTGATATTGGATGGACAGCTGGAGAAAAGCTGTGCGATTTAGAGTTTGCCGATGACATCGTCTATCTGTTCCAATGTCAGATGGACGCGCATTTGGCAGACGGACAAGTGCTGTTATACCGATCAGTGTGCAGTTTACACGTTCGAAGCACAAAGTCATGCTGCAAGAGTATCGTGTATCCCGACTCTGAAGCTTGGTGGTCAAGACGTAGTTATCGTGGATTGCTTCTCGTATTTGTTTAGTAGTGCGACCAATGATGCTAGCGTAACAAAGAAAATAAACGCATGTACTATCAGGGTTTGAGCAGAGTACGCAGAACTCGAATACCTTTGGCGACGATGTGAAGTTTCACTGAAATTGAAATGTCGCATATATTGCAAAGCCGTTGCGTCAGTTCTGTTTTAGGGTTGTGAAACCTTGAAGTTTCTAGTTACAGATATTCATGGACTACAAGTTTTGGTCAATCCATGCTTACACAGTTTAGCGCACATCGGGTTGAGCAAACAGGTTAGTAGGCTAGAGGTAAGCCGTCGTGTGTTTGAGATTTTACGAAGGATAAATTTGCTAGCACATCGAATTGAGAATGGTGGGCTTCACTAGCTAGAGCACGCATTGCGCATGCTCAGCTGTCGTCTACCGCACCGCGCCTCATTCGCGCTATGGGCTGGGGGAAACCACGTGATGGTCAACAGATGACGTGGCGATGAGGCATGAAGAAATACGCAGAGCTGTTAGGTGGAGTAGGTGTCACGCGCCTTCCAGGTTGGTCTCTGAAAGACTGCACAACTGGTTGGTTTTAGACATTGAAGGATTTGGCAGCGAATCGACAGCAGTGGCGTTCTTGTTGTCATTTCTGTCCAGAATACTTGAAGCCCTTATGTATACATAGTTGAGCCGTGTACTCTGTATGTTGATCATAGAGGTTCACATTCTTTTCCTCAACGAAAATGGCTTCAATCCCTGTCCACCTTACATATTTTCACTCACTTTGCATGCATTGTGTGTTTTACAGCGATCAGGGAAGTTCACTTCGCTGCACGGTGGTGATTAGGATGATAGACCTGTACCAGTCCCTCCGTTATGCTTGTCAGTTACTTCTGTACTATGTACGCTGGGATTACTTGTGAGGTAATGTTTCATTTTGCCCCGAATTAATGTACCACTCATACTTCATCTGCACTCTCCGCCTCGTTTATCATCTGTTCAAATAACACTATTTTTCTAGCACTTCCCCCCCTTCGCACTTTGTCTTCCCAAATCGATTCGTGTTCCTGTTTTTATTTGATTCGACTTGTTCTAGACCGCTGCCGCTGCTCCCAGTGCAGAAAAGAAGCCGACTCGCAAAGCGGCTGAGTCCGATTTCGATTCCGGTGAATCTGGCGAGGAAGGCGAGGATGCCGAGGAGGACAGTGACAGTGACGATTTTTGGGACAGTGACAGTTCCAGTTCGAGCAGTATTGGAGTTGACCGGGCCATGTTCCAACAGGATCCATCCGCGTACTTCCTGAAGAAAACGACCGATGAAAAAGAGAAAGTGAGTAGTAGTAGTAGTAGTAGTAGTCCGTGTTTCACTTGAAGCAAACTGAATTCTCACCACCACCAAATATCTCTCAGAATGCTAGTAATTATAGGAATCCCTTTCCGCCTGCGCCCAATAACACAAATATATCGTGTACACGTTGTCGACTTTATTGGTAGTCTAACCAGTGCTGTTCTGCTTACTCGGTATGTTCTGACCAATGATTGATCTGAGTAGCAGTTATCTGAGTACAGACAGCACGGTAATTTTTTTGTTTGTTTATTTCCGAATCACCCTTGTTTGCAGGATAAAATCAAAGTGAAAAAGCCGATCAAAGAACGTCCAGCCAAAAAACAGTCCAAAGTGCCGGATGCCCTCGATGCGGATGGAGCATGGACCACTGTGGACAATTTGGGACGGGCTGAACCGACTATTCAAGCTTTTGAAAAGGGAATGGAGATCACTCACGAGGTGGTAGTGAAAAAACTGAACGAGATTTTAGCAAGCCGAGGCAAGAAAGGAACCAGTGTGGCTGAACAGCTCACCCTGTTACTCCAAGTTGAGGAAAAGATTGGTAAATCACTCTCTGGTCATCCTGCTCTTGTGTCCCAACTCGTTCCCTTGTACATTCATGATCCTCCGTGGTGGCCAAACTTTGCTTTGCAATTGTCTCTTTGGAGGGAGATTTTCGATTTTTATTGTTTTTGAATGGGAGAAATGTGTTCATCGCTGCGTCACAAGGTGGGAAAATAAATGAACCGATGAACCACATAATTTAAGCTTGTGTATCCTAATACGATTGGGATTGGGACGGGGAACGTGCAGAGTAGCAAATGTTTGGCAATCAGACATGCAATGTTGACGCCAAGCGCAGATTCACAACACACAACATACGCGAACAAATGTTTGTTGGTGAATTCCTTTTCAAGCCTTTACAATCACGTTCATATGAGACAATTTCAATAGGATCAAACAGAAAGGCTAATGAATTTGTGTTTGGTAATGAACCTGAGAGATCTCCAAATTAGTACGCTGTTTGGATTACGTAACTAAAATTCACCATATTACGTCACGGTCATGTGAACAAGTGATTTACTCTGTCCTTGGCCAGGAGAGTTTGAGAGCTTGGATCAGTGTTTGTTGTGCACACAGCTCAGGCTTCACGAGTCAGATGCTTATCCGCTTTGCGGTTGCTAATGTCCGAAACCATATTTCTCTCGAGATTCGATCACTCATTGCAAATGCCGAGCCCATTTCAACCAAGTGTCTCTACCAGATGAGCAACGATCGAGCTTGACACAGCTCCACTCCCACCCTGTGTGAGCCAGCGTGGATTGTGTTCTCTGATCCGTTGAGATAACTAACTTGTCGTTCAACCTATGTAAGTTGCACCACAGGTGCACTTGAATTGATAGACAATCATAGATGAGATCAACATAGACAGCTTATCTTTGTTGAACCATGGGGTATTTGGTGACGTAGAGAACACGCATCTTAGCTGAGCGGCGTTAAATTCGGATTTCACTGACGGTCCTGATGCTATCAGCGACCAGATAACCTTTCTGTTTGACCCTATTGAAAATGTTTCACATAGATGTGATTGATGAAGGCCTGAAAAGGAATTCACCGAAAACATTTGTTCGCCTACTTTGTGTGTTCTTGGTCAATGGGTATATTTCGTGATTTGAATACTTCCCTAGCTTACTTCGGATGGGGTATGTTACGCATACCACCAACTCAGTTGCCATGACGCGCGATGATTGCTGAGGCAGATAGTGGGTGGAAAAAAATCAAGGGTTGGGAAACTCAGACTTGGCGTCAGGATTCCTGTATGGGCTCCTCTGGATTAGCGTAACCGATGGCTAGCGAAACTGGGTAATATGGCTGAGTGTCGTAAATAGTGGCCATCGGAATTCTCCATTTTCTCCTCGATACTGCTTTCAAATTTAAAGTCTTCTTACGCTTTATCCAAACGAGCAGGCCAGAGACAACAGTTAATACCAGTACACGAAAGTGCATGCATGGTTAATGGCTGTTCAAAATCTGAAACTGTTTGACGACCTTCCGTTTTTCTTTTATAAACTCTATTATACCATGATTTGTTTGGCACACAGTCTGGATTCAGAAGTCTATGAATTATGTATATGTATATCGTAATAAGTAGTATGTGAATGACTGGACAAAATTGCCCTAGAAGCACACGACCGGTTTCGCGGTTCTTGCCGCTCGTTAGGCTTCCTGGGCACAAGTATATGAACTGACAAAAGATTACCGGATACGCATGCCTGACGAGCGGTAAGAACCGCGAAACCGGTCGTGTACTTTTACGGAAATTTTGTCCAATCAGTCACATACTACTTATAATCAAATATTCTATAAAGACTATCAAGTCACGTTTGTTGCGGTTAGTGGCATCTAACTCACGAAAACATTGAATCACAGCATTGACTGGCTCTGAAAGAGCTGTCTATCCAGACGTCACCCGGTGATGCAAGCAAGGTAATTGTGTCGAATATGTATGTATATATATTACACAATGCGTCAGCAAAATTTTCAGCTACGGATAGTAATTCATATTTCAACACTTCCAGAATGATGCATTTATATATTCTTCACACATCTGAGTCTAGACTGTATGTGCTAAACGCAGTACAATAAAGAAAATGTTCCATGATTTGCTTGTGCGACGAATACCGCCATGTTGCCCAGGCCCCAAAGCAGTTAAATTTCCTTCGGCTGGCCGAAGCCTGACCCACAAGACAGCGAAGCGGTGTGAAAAAGCCACAATCTATCGAGGGCCGGCGTCCAGTCCATCTGAATGGAGCCAAACGTCCAAAGTGCCCAATCGAGCCGGTGACCACTGCCAGAAAGATGTGTGAATAGGGCTCATCAGCAGAGGCTGTTTGACACGCTTGGTCGTATGGGGGCGTTTCACGAGGTGCAAGGGAAGAATGACCACCTACAACCCTAGGTACCCACCCCCGACCATACTGAGGTTTTCGGAGGCTCCAGAAATATACTTGTTTTTAAGGTGGCTGGCTCCTGGGAGAGGATAAACCGGCTTCATTGATATCTCGAATGGCCGCTGCCCACGATCGGCGATCTGCGGCAAATTCAGCGCAGATTGTGATTCAGCTTGACTTCCATTGGCGAACACCGTAGACGGAACGGAGATCAAGGTTTCCAGTATCCTTTCGTACCTTGCCAAGCCAGGTTTTGAGCTGTCCACTGTGTCAACAGTGCCAGTTCGAGCACGGAGGCTGTGCCAAGGCAGCCTGGTTCAGATCGTTTTCAGACTTATGAATTATGTGACCAAACCACCGTAGTCGCCGCCGTTGTATTAGCGTCCGCAACCATACAAGATTAAAACACCGATTTCTGACCACTTCATTTGAGAGTTGATCCCTCCGTCGTATTCAGAATGATTCTTAAGCACCAGTGATCGAAGGCTTCTTATCTGCGACAGTCTTCGAATCGAAGTTGCCGGGTTTCACAGCCGTTTAGTGAGATAGAACGGGCAGCTGCGAAGACTGACTGATTTCATTTCTACACTCCAGAAATATCACTGTTTGGTAATTCAGTTTCACTTTACACCACGTTTCAGTGATTTTTTTCACATTTCGATCCTGATCCGATTCTTTTTACTCACACGCTAATCTAACTTCTCTCGCGGAACAAATGGGTATTTTGTGCAGTGCAGAAAAGTCTACGGCAGAACTCTAATATGGTCTTTTTCAATTTTGCTTTCTATTCCCAGTCGAATTGAAATTGTCCGTTGGACTGCACGCCAAAGTGCTTATGTCCCTAATCAGCGTGCTGTTTGATTACGATCGGAAAAATGCCCCATGCATGTCGGCCACGCTGTTTGATCGGTACGTAGTAGTTCTCCGTTGTTGTACGTATGTATGTATGTGTGTGTGTGTGTGTGTGTGTGTGTGTGTGCGCTTGTCCGTGCATACATCTTCAACCTGTCCGACTTGTGTTCACTCGTTTTATATTCACTGCTTGAGGATTACCGTCATTCACCTGTCCCTACTCTCTGTCTAGATACTGTTTTGGGTTACAAGATCACTGCATCTGTCAACCCAATAGGTTAGGTTTTCGTAGGTGTGGTTCACATCACTCAGTACCTTTAGTACATACATTCATCCTGTATATCACCCTCTATATCTTGTGTCTGATCTGGAGCATGAGGACGACTTTGTACTGCTAAGTGAAGATCCAGGTAAGTTTCAAGCCTTTCTAGATAGTTTGAGTGTTGGTGTAGCCATGTTCGGTATGCGTTTTGCACCTTCAAAATGTAAAATGTTACTTTAAGACTGTGTTGGTCCAGCACCCTGGGGAAGTAAGAGAGCAAGTGAATAAGTTTTGTTATTTAAGCAGCTACACCCGGTGGACGCATCACGGTTGAAGTGTCAGCTCGCATACAGAAGTCTCGGTTGGCATTTGCCAACTTGAGACATCTGTGGCGCCGTCGCGACATTCAATTACCTGTGTAGGGTAGAGTATACGCTGCAGCAGTTAGGCTAGTCCTGCTCTACGGTGCAGAGACTTTGCCACTACGAGGAGTAATATACAGATAGACCGTGTCGGTATTTGAATATCGCTGTCTACGCAGCATCGCACGAATCTGGCGGGGCAGCCGGGCGTGCAATGCTGAGGTTAGTCGCAGAGTTTTGGGTAACCACGGTCGCCTACTGGAGTAAATGGTCGACCTCCACGGATTGCATTGGTTGGGACATGTGTTGCGCATGTCGTCATATAGATTGCCACAGCGCAGGCAGGTAGCGGTTGGAAAAAATCAAGGGCGGTCAAGCTGCGACCTGGCATGAGGGTATGAAAACCCTAACCAGGAATCTGGGTCACATAGGTCCCGTTAGGCTCCCTGGTAGGGGATCTGGGGATGATCGTAACCCATGGTTAGGGACATTGAGTGATTTGGCTGAGTGTCGTAAACAGTGGTGCTCGTGTGTCGTTTCATTTTCTTTGCAATCTTAGTCTACCGGAATTCTCCATTTTCTCTTCGACTCCACTTAAAACTCGTCTGTCTTTCTCCTACTGGTTCACCCAAATGGGCGGCCAAAAGACAGCGACCGAAACCAGTGTACGAACCTGCATGGTTAACGGTTGTAAAAGCTGAAACTGATGCAGGAAGCCCAATCCAACCTGAATAGTCGACCCAGTTTGTACCAAGTCATACATCGACCGATCCCACGGTCCCATGCTTCGATTCCAGCTAGTTTGAGCAAGATATGCTCACCGGTGTTTCGTTGTTTGTCTCTTGCTTTCAGATGATATACTTCCAGTCTCTACACTGTTCGAACTAGGTGGTGGCGCAGTGGTTTAGTTGCTGTCAATGGACATGTTTTGGACTCTATGGTCCGAGGTTCGAGCCCCACCACCCAACTTTGGTGGTAGGCAGCCTTGCTATCGTTCGGTTCAATACGGCTTGTAATCCAACGTACCCTTATGTGGTTCGCTTAGGTTACTGGTTTCCATCATTGGACAGCAAATACTCGTGATTAAAGATCTTTCCCCGTCTGCTGTTCATCACAAAAGTGTGTGTAATAGAAACTGCTGATTGGATTAGTCTTCAAACCAACATTAGACAGTAGATAGCTGTGAGAATCAAGTATCTAAACCCGGGAGACTCATTCGTGGCCACGGGGATAAACATGGTATTCAATCAGATAACCTGTCTGTCATCAACTTTTGGTGTTGGTAGTCACAGACTTGAACTCCGGGGCACACCAATGACGGTGAATTGAACGACTTAACCAGCATCTCCATCATAAGCTGGGGTAAACACTAGAGATGATAGAATAACGACAAGTTGTCTGTAGTAATCAACAATTGGGCTACTGTGTATTGCTATCGGTTAATTTTCTTACCACTTTAATCAAAGATTATAAAAGGCAAATTAAGATAGGTAAGTATTTCGGAAAACCACATTCTCCGGTCCCATGAATGTGACTTTGCTTCATTCATTGGTCACCGTACTCCATTTTCCTTCTCTTGAAAATCATATCGGTGCCGGCTCATCACAACAGATTCTATTCTCTTTTGTTTTTTTATTCACAGGCTGATCACAACATTTGATCGACTTTTCGATTTGTTGGAAGTGAACGACATCCAAATGGTTGTCCCCGACACGACCATCGACACAGTCGAATCACTCGAGGTGAGTGCACAGTTTTGTTTTACTGTTTCCACCCCGTATACGTTAATAATAATAATAATAATAATAATAATAATAATAATAATAATAATAATATAGGGGGTTGTTCAAGGTTGATGTTCAGTCATGTGTTCAACATGGGTCCAATTTTTAGCCCTACTCTCCAGCCTCATTCATAGAAATAACGTCCGTAGAAGGTGGACAAGATAGACTGAGATTATGCAAAGCGAGAGAGGAAGTGAGGTACCAAGGAAAACAAACATAAACGAGGTAATTGAGAAGTTCGATGACACATTTGCACTCATCAACGTCGGTCCTTCATCCAAAATGGAGATTTCTCAAAGAATAGAAAGCCTCAAGCACAAACGGACGGTTTCCATCGACTTTTAAGGATGGGAGTTGAGCGTTGGTTTTGAATTTGACAAACCTCCCAGGTCCAGTGTGAGCGACAGAGAGTGAGTTTGATCAACATTGTCTCTAAACTGCTTTGTGGTTCTGTACTCCGTCGACTGTGCGCCTCACGTGAACGGTGCACGCGTGAGAACCAGATTAGTTTCAGACCTAGTCGAAGTTGTACAGATCACATTTTCACTCTTCGTCAAATTTCAGAACACTAACACTTCTTCCGTAGACCCATCATTTCTGTTCTCGATTTGAAAGCGGCCATCGAGTCAGATGATCACTTTTTACCCTGGCTCTGTCTTTCTCTGAAGGGTGTTTATTGCAATTTTGTGATTTCTTAATACCAATAGACGAGGTCGAGTACTAGCTTACACCTTTTTTCGCCCGAGTTCACTGCAGGCAGTGGTATTAATTAAGGTTGCTTTCTTTCTGTCTCCGTTTATATTTCACTTTCTAACTGATTGCATTATAAAAAAGACCCTGCCCTCGTGCGAGAATAGTACTGTCGAGTCACTCGGCAGTTCAGACTGTCTGATCTGGAGGATGCAGACGACATTGCTCTACTAAGCTGTAAGCTATTCTGCTTGTTTGAGTGCTAGTCTAGCCATGTCCGACAAAGTATTGCTGCAAGACCGGGTTGATTAAGCTCGCAACCTCATTCTAATTGGCAAGTTTTGCTATTTGAACAGTTACATCTCACCCGGTGGACACGTCACAGATGAAGTGTCGGCTTGTATGGTAAAAACTCGATTGGCATTTGCCAATCGTTTCGATATCTGGTTGTCTGGTTGAAAGATCGAATGTGTGCTGCACCGATTCGGCCGGTACGTGATGTTTGCCGAGGCAAGTGATGAGTGGAAAAAAGTGCCAAGTGGTCCAACCAAGACCCGGTATGAGGATATGAAAAAATCCTGACCATGAGACTCGCTCAACTAGATTGCGTTAGGTTTTCCTAAACGGGCACCTCGGACCTCAATAGTAATCAGGCCACTGAGCTTATCACCCTGGATAGAGTGTTATTCTCATTTTGTTCATAACTGAATAAAACCAAACCATTAAACTCCAATCATCAAGCACACGGGATAGTGAAGGAAACAAGCAAGCTATAATAACTAGTTTGTTAATTTTGTGTTTTCAAAGGTACGGATGCTACATGTTAGAGAGACGACCGAAATTGGAAACAGTGTTTCTCAGCTGTCCCGTTCTCAGGATAGTCACGTGAAATGAGCGAATAGCTGTTTGTGCACCGGATTTTCGTGAAAGAACAAAATTGATTAGTTTCGGTTGTACAGAAACCAACCAATTACCTGTAGGATAAAAAAAACTAGTGATTGCAAGTCACCTAATAGGGACAGTGATGAGGCGAATGGACTTGCAGGCCGGTTAATAACGGATGGAATAAAAATTAACTCGATACTGTCTCAACAAATAAACGGAACGTCCGGTTTCCATAAGAACCGGTTGACGAATTATCCTTAGCCTTTTGTATACCAGCTGTGTAGTTATTGCACAATCGAGCTATTTACTCTGTTGGTTGGCTGTGCTAATTCATCGTCCCCCCCCCGCCCCGTCAAAAACTGGCTTACTTCATATCCGAACAAACAAATTCATATTACACTTTTTTTTTTTACACATTCTGAACGCTGCGACAACCACATTCACTTCGTTTGGTGCGATCATAGCGACTGTCTGCAAACTATATTGTTCACCGTTCCCGCGTATTTCTCTCATGTCACATTGACGTTTTTCTTCTCGCTCTCTCTCCCTCGCTCTCTCACTGCTAGAATCCCCCATTTCTGATCTGTGGCTCGGTCCTCACCAATGTCACCCTTCTGGACGGGGAGTGCACCAAAGTTTTGCAAAATGCCAACGGTCACGAATTGGAATATGTGGACCGGTAATTCTCTTTTCCCCTCCCCCATCTGTGTTGAGAATCTGTACTCGTGTCGGGCTTCTACGCGTTCCTATGCTTGGCCCCGCTTGCGTATAAATCGCATACTTTGACTCATACTTTGAGCGCAGTTTTCCTCGGGCTATAGCTTGTTGGATCCTTTCCGCAATTGGGTTCGTCTGGGTCACGATGTGTTCCGTCCCTGTTTGCATTTCGGTTACGCCAGAAAACCAAAAAACCAACCAGTAAATCTATCTTTTACATTTCTCAACTACCACTATCAAGTATTTCGTTTTAGATAACACAGTGTATTCTGCGAATCTGTCGGGCATTTACGGTAGTTGGATAGTTCGTGTTAGCTGGTGATAACTTGGTTCAAACAAGCAAGTCTTTGGAATACGGTTCGACATCAATTTGATCACTCGGAAACTTTCATCTTGTCTCTCCGTTTTTTCTCTTCCACTCATGTTTCATCTAGACCTACTTTTCGAAATTCCCTTCTTATTAAATATGCAGTTAATGTTGTGGTCGGAATCGCCCACCCCGAGGCAGCTGTCAGTTGCACCCTTCAACTTGGTCTTTCTAACATTCCCGAGTGATCCACCGCATAAAGCTTAACTCTCAATCCCTCCAAACGCGTAGACATGCTGTTCTCACCTCTCTTCGAATCCCGCCCCACGATAAACACACGTGATGATACCATTATCCAACCCTTACATGTTAAGCGTCTCAATATGTTAATCAGCCGAAATTTGTGCCAATCTGACCGAGTTAATTCTCTATTTGAAAGGACAAAAAATTATCATTTACATCCTACGCCTGAAAGCTCAATCCGTCCCTCGCTTCCTGATCTACTGTTTTCTTTTTGCTTATATGTCTCCTCTTTGGAGGGATGCTCAAGAAGGACTTTAAGTTGCTTTCCAAACCCTTGGCATGTTTATCTAGAAGTAGTGGAATTTCTCGTGATGTTCTCTATCATTTCATCATTTCACAACATGTCTTTCGTTATCCAAAAACATCATGAGCAAACCTTCGCATCCGTTACACACCGATCTTATTGAGTACGTGTGTGTAACCTCTTCTTCAACCGCATCCCGCCATTACTATATATTTTTTCACACACGTCTTAGACCAGACTGTGTGCCAAACAAATCATTGCACAATAATCTTTATGAAAAAGAAAGACGCTCCATGATTGGCTTGTGGGCTGAATATGACCAGGTTGCCCGGGCCAAGGCAGGTGAATTTTCTTGAGGAATTCTCAACCGTAGCCTTTAGCTAACCAAAGCCTGATCCGCAAGGTAGCGGGGAGTGATGTGTGAAAACCGCAGTCCCTTAGGAGCCGGTTTCCAGTTGATCGTATCTTACGCCCTTTGGACGGGATCAAACGTCCAACGTGCCCAGTAGAGCCGGTGACCGCAACCTGGAAGGTGCGTGTGGTTCGTACGTCTCCTCATAGTTGGTTTGGAATCAAGGGTTTTTTGGACAACTCCCCTAGGTGAACTACCAGTGGTCCACCAATTCGGATATTGGCTTTCTGTCCTTTCACTTTGGTGATGAGAAAACACCGCGTCATGAGAAGGCAGTGAATGGGACTTCCTCAGCAGAGGCAATTCGAGACGCTTGGTCGTATGGGAGCATTTCGCGAGATACAAGGGAAGAGTGACCAGCCGTAACCCTA